AAAAAATAAAAAAAAAAAAATAAAAAAAAAAATATTATATTAAAAAATATAATCCCATCTACATATATATATATATATATATATATATATATATATATATATTATTTCACTGAAAAAAAAAAAGAAAACTTTGCGTCTTGTTATATATACAAGGGTGTTACTAAACTTCTGCCAAATCCTTATTAAGTCATGATCTTAAATATTTTTGTATTTTTGCAAAGTTTATATTTATACATGCTATTAATATTTAATATTATTTTCAAATTTATATATGTATTTCTTATTCATCTGGTCGAAAAATAATATTAAATAAAAATAATGTTTTTATAATATACTATGTAATATATATATTTTGTGAGAATATAGAAAATTGAGTAGTATATTTTGTAAGAACCTAACAAATTGAGTACTAAAATTAGTAAGTGTTTGAAAGAATGAAACCGAATATTTCAATGTTAAAATAATTTAATAAGATAAATAGAATTTTATAAATACGTCTCATTATCTAAAACAATTATCATGTTTTTAAAACTTATTTTCTGAGTTTTCTTTCCTCTCTCTTTAAGAATTCTAATTCATAAAATATATGATCGACTATCAAAATGTGCCTAGGAGATCAAGACAGTGAATTCTCCATTTTCTACCAATCAGTTCTTTCTGTAGAGTAAGTCAATTTTTATTCATTTTTTTCAATTTTCATTTTAAGACATATGCAAAGAAAATTTACCGCATATGTCCTTCAATCTCTCTTATTAGTAACTTGTGTCAATGGTTTTAAGGACCTGATTCTATAGTTTATAGACAATTTTGGATTTCTATAAGTTTAGATAGGGATAGTGTGTTTAAATTTAAGTGAGATTGGTATTTTTATGGTGTTAAATGAATAGCAGGATGAAATTGAGTATGTAATAACATAAATGAATTAGTTATAGTATTGATGATATGTTATTGTGAAAGATTGTAGTATGTGACTGGTTTTATACTTTTACTTGGATAATGAATTTTTTACGGTTTCTTTAGTTTTATTCAATATCAAGATTCAATATTTCTATGTTATCTAAGAGGATTTACACTCTTTTTCGTTAAATACAATATATAATTTTATAGAAAAACAACTGAGTATTATAATGATTTTAAACTAGTCTTGTAACATCATTTTTTAATACAATATATAATTTAGTTTAATTATTTATTATTTTATGTTTCAATATTATTAGTTAGCATTTTTTTTATTATATTGTAGATGGGGATAAAAAAAAAGATGTTTCAAGAGAGAAAGATATATCTAATTATGAATATTAAAAACTTATTTGTTCGCCTTTTGTGCTTGTTTTTGGATTACGCTTGGATTGCATTGTATGATGTTTTTTATTTATTTTGAATTGTCTTTGGAGTTTAACATCATTTTAGAGTGAAATTTATTTAGATTTGAATTAACCGTTTAACCCACCAACCCATAGTAGGTCAGGTTAAATTTAAATTTTTCAACTCTCTAATAAGTAAGCCGAGTTTGGTTGGCTCACTAAGTGATTAATCTGTGGTGGGCTGAACCGAGTCGAGCCAAGTTACCCCTTTTGACAGCTCTTTTGACCTAAACTTAAAATTTAGAAATTGTTTGGAAAAATATAATTAACCTTGATTCCTTAAACCAAAATAGAAAGTAAAGAGAACATGGTACATATAGATGTTAAATTAAATATATTTACTAAATTGTAAATTATGTTTTAAAGTCTAATAGCATTTTCTTGATGTGGATGGAGGCTTCAAAATATTAGATAGGACAGGACTTGCATTGTTTGTTTTCTTTTCGGTTTCTGGTTTATTTACTTTGGATTATATTTGTTTAGGGAAACTTCTCTCTGCACCCCAATAATCATAATTCCAACATGCACTCTCGTTTTTTATTTATTTCTAAATGTATAATTCCAAAGACAATTTTATTATTTAAATTTGTATAATTTGGGTTTTAGATTATAAAACTCACAATATATTTATATTTTAAAATATACATATGAAATATATTTTTTGTTGTTCAAATTGTATATTTTAGAATATACAAATTTATATTTTAGATTATACATTCTTAAATACAAAATAAAAAAATTATTTCAAATTGTTTACATTAAAAAATATTATGAATTGTATTTCTATTTCAAAAAGTTAACTAAGTTAAAAAATTGTTTGCACCAACTTTCAATATATTTTGAAAACAATATATTATTTTTTTGAAGAGGAAAGATGGAAAGAAGAGAAAGAAAAAAATTTGAAGATATTTAAAGAAAGGAAGAAAAATAAGAGAGAGAAAAGGAGAGAAACTATCTTATATATATCGTTCATAGAGTAAGATAAGGAAACTTTTGTCATTCTATTTATCTATTCATATTTATATTGTTTATATTTACATTTAATAAGGTGTTTCTAATTTATTTTTTTATTTATATATTATAAATTTATATTTATGTATCACTTTTATTTATTTATCTATATTTATTTTCAGTTATGCATTGATATTATTTATTTAATTATTTATATTTATTTCAAATTACATCTTGATTTATCTATTTATTTATATTCCTTGGTTTCTATATTTAGTATTTTTTTTCTTATCACTAGAATTATGATGAGAATATTATAAATTAATATTGAAGAATAATATAAGTTATAATAAGTTAAATAAATTGATAAGACTTCAATTAAAGGTATGACTTTAGAGATTCAAGTGAATAGATATTATCAAAAAGAAATATTCTTAGGTTATTTTGTTGACTATGATAAAACTCATTTATTAGTCACTACAACAATCAATTCAAAAAATTTTATTTAAAATAAAATGGAATATGTTAATTTAAAAAATATTTGTACATTTCTTTTAATATCATATTATATAATAGCTATTTTCACTTCTTTACTAATACTTGTGTATCAAAAATAAATTAAAAATTATTATTATAAATATACGGAGGGGCCAAATTACCCTAATTCATTCTCAATTGTGATTACTACAATTTTTCCAAAACCAATTACAACATTAATATTGTTAACAATTCCGTAACATTTTTAGGGATGAGTCGTTCAACCCTCACTTCGGTGTCAACCATAAATGCTCACTGAAAGGACCAATTATAATCACATTTTACATGTACTTACCTTACACGTAACATGTATATATTAATTACATCTTAAATCATAATTAAATTAAAAAATAATATATATTACATGTATTACA